CAAGATGTACAACATCCAAGTGAAGCAAAAAACAGAAAAACCTGCTCGAGTCAAGTTCTCATTTAAATAAAACCGAACAGCACAGCAGCTTGCAGCATGGCAAAACAAAATAACGCAGGAACACCAAGGGCTGTCAAAGAACACCAATAGCTCCATGAAACAAGTACTTTCAGAACACCAAACAGCATTCCAAGATGTCCTTGCATGTAGCCAATGTATTAAAGTTCGCATCTGTGATTGAAAATTTGTCTGGATTCACTTATCATGCTCGATTTCTGCTGGTTGCTTTCTGCTAGTCTGGCATGTATAATTGGTGGACACTGCTGCAAGTTTTGTGTCTGCGTTGCTAGCTGCTTTTTGTTGACGTTGTTTGCTTGCAGGCTTGGCTATGCGTCAGTTCCCGTGGTCTGAAGTTGGAGCTATCTACAATAGTGGCTTTGTTGCAGCACTTTTTCCTGACTGCTGCTCGCTTTGCACTTGCTTCCTTGGTACAAGTAGCCTGGCAGTTCTCCTGCATCCTGTATGATGAAGCGCTTTTTGGCAAGACCCTTTTCTCTATCATGAAGGCAGGCTTCAAACAGAAGACGTGGCTTACTTAAGCTGCTGCAGCCACTCATAAAGCGCGCTGGGAGTGCGAGACCGCTCCAAGAGCACTCGACGCAAATCATCGCAGATCCAAGGACACCGCAGCAGCAGTTGCGCTCGCATCTAGCGGTGTTTACCCAAACCACATACCATCCACCAACTTTCAGTTCTAAGATGCAGTGCTGCTGATTTTGGATGTCACATTTGCCGCGCGTGCTCATGACCTCGGTGCAGCACCGAGATCTTGGTAGCTGCCACCTTCGAGAACCATTGCGTCAAAATGAGTGAAATAGGGATCTGCTCCATTACAGCTGATGCCACTCATGGCATTCCCCAGGTTCACAACAGTGCAGGGCGAGTCCATCATTGCTGCGCACAATCAGATTTGTCGGCAAGAGCCGTCAGGAGTATGAGAGCCTGCTTTAGGGGGTCTTTCCTTGTGAAGTCATTGGTCGCCAGTGGTGCCCCACAAGCAATGCCGATTTCGAATTCGCATCGGAATAGCAAGAGCGCAACTCAAAACACCTCAAAGTCCAGATTATCGGTAGCAGAACAGCCGCAGCAGCAGCAGCACCCATCAAAACACGGCTTCCAAGCGTGGATTCCTTGTGGCTAGTCCTGCCATTCTGGATACCTATGGATACCTACTCACCCAGCCTCGAGTCTTGCTTGTTAATTTGCTCTTGCGATGAACGAGGCCGCCTTGCTGTAAGGCGTCCACGTAATACATGTCCAGTGGGGGATAGTGGGCACGCGGCATCTCACGAAGGTCTATTTGTGTCGAAACGACAATTATACTTCAGAATGTGTCCTGTGCGTGAGCCAACAGAACAGTCAACTGTCAACTATCTGGGCACCTGCTGAATTCGAATGCTGAACAAGCTTTTGCGGTTTCAGCTAACTCTCAGCTACAGATGGGAATGAACAGCTTCGCATGACCCGCAGACCTGGTCTTTGGAGAGTACACTGGCTGCTCTGGCGCAGTACCGGAAATTGCACAGACCTGAACAAGCCATCCAGTGGTTGAAAGTGTTTTGCTTGCATTCGTGATTGCAACGCGGCTGCAGCACTGGTAAGGCACAGACAATTGTTGACATTACCAAGAACAGCCTGCGCTGAGGCGCGTATGGTGCGAGACATCTTCCGTCTCAAAATGCAGAGCCTCCCCGGCCGCAAAGCCTTTGCATCTATCGAAGAGCTGCAGTCCGGACCATGATGGCATGACAATGGGTCAGTTCTCAAAATCTGAGAGCCCCGCTGCCGAACTGGCCGAACGCCAGGTGCAACGGCCGGGGATCAACGTCTAACAAGCAAGTCTATCTATACCTGCGTCTTAACAAAACTTGCCAACGCTGCGGTGATTGACAGGTCAGTTCCCGCAGCACGCCTTCCTTAAGGGTCGTCAGCAATGTAGGCAACGCAAGCAACCATCAGATTGAGTCAACAAGAACTCCAACATCTTGGCACATGATGGCAGTTCCTTGCTAGCCAGGTGCACAGCTATGTTGTGCACACTGAATCCGCTCTTTGCTGCTACCTCCCCCGTTACAAACCTCTTTGTGGCTGGCGGTAGCTAAATGAACATGATAGAAGAAGCCATCAAGGCCTTGTTGCAAAGGGAACTGTCACAGAACCAACCCCTCACCTTTGATACAAACCCTTTCTCACGCAAGGCTTGCCCAAGGCCTGTTACAAGCCCAATATTTTTGGGCAGCTCCCATGTTACGGTAAAGCAAGAGGAGCTTGGCACAGCTAGCGGTGGTGAGCTGTTGTAGCTGGATGCTTTTCATTTGCAACCATCGACCTTTGTAAGATTGTTCGTTCTGCAGCCAAGTGCTGCAAAGCCCGCGCGAAGAAGGCACTGCGCCTTGTACACCGGTGAGACCAAGTCAACTACGTCCGATATGCCCGTTTACCATGCTCTCATAGCCTGTTGGCTACGTCCGGCCTGCAGTATATCAAATGCCCTGCTCCACATTCCACAGACATGCTCGCATGGAGTGCGCTAAGCGCAGATCTTGCGAAACTTCCAAAGCTGAGGCAAACCTCCCACCTGGCAGACTGGGAGAAGTGCAACAACTGGTTCAGAGCTGCTGCGGCAACTGCCCTTGGCCTTTGGCGAGCCCAATGAGAAGACAGAGTTGCTCACCTTGGCGCTGACCACAACTCCAGGCTAAGCATCTTTTTGTGCGGCTGCCTGCATGGGACTCCGCATGCAATACAACAATGCCAGGATGGACGGAACTTCCTGAATCATTTCCCGGAAATCGGTGGCACATGCCAGGCCGGTTGCACAGGCTGAGTCATGGTTGCACAGCCTGCGCTGACCGGGGCTGCCGTACAAGTTGCGGCGTTTGCGCGCCGCTTGTGACAGTTGAGCCGTTGGTGCGGCTGCTGCTGCAGCTGCCCCTGCTGCTGCAGATTCTGCTGATATTGCTAGTGCTAGTGCTCGTGCTGGTGCTACTCCTGCTGCTACTGCACTGCTATTGCAACCACTTCTTCTTCGTCCACTTCACTTTTATTTACTGCCCCCAAAACAAGAAGGACCACCATCATTATTTATGCTGCTTACTACACGAGCATGATGGCGACAACACCGATGCCGCTGTGGAGGACTGCGATATGGGCGACAGCACCATGACTGCTGCTACATGTTCTGTTTTCCTTTCGGCCAGACGCTATGATGATGATGATGATGATAATGATGATGATGATGATGACAAAGACGACGATGACGATGATGATGACGATGCAACGATGATGCACCAGCACCAGTGCCAGCGCCATCACCAGCTCCAGCACCGCCGCAGCCACCGCCACCGCCACCTCCACCGCCACCAACATCACCACCACTGTTGCCAGCACTACCAGCACCAGCAGTAGCACCAGCAGTAGCGCCCGCAGTAATAGCACTAGCAGTAGCACTTGCGGATGCAGAACTAGGACCAGCGCTCGCTGTCGTCACGGCAGTAATTGCAGTCGGGCTCAATAGTAGAAGTAGAAGTCGTGACAGTTGTAGCGACCACAATCATTCACTGCAATTCTTGGCATCATCGCCGTAGTCGTATAGTCATATTCGCAGTCGCAGTCGTACTCGCTGTAGTCGTCGTAGCAGTCATCGTAATCATATTAGTCGTCGTAGTCGTAGTAATAATAATAGTAATAGTCGTAGTAGGAGCAGGAGTAGGAGTAGGACCAGGAGTAGGAGTAGCAGTAGCAGCAGCAGTAGTGGTAGTAGTAGCAGCAGTAGTCGTAGCAGTAGTAGTAGTGGTAGTAGTAGTGGTAATAGTAGTAGTAATAATAACAGTAGTCATGTGTGTCGGCCTAGCGCGGTCGAAAACGTTCGTTTTCCAAAGGCATCGAACTTTGGTTTCGGACTTTTTCACGTCTGTTCAAGCAAACCCACAATTTTGTGCCATTTTCCTTTGAATTTGCAAACACGGCCTTTCCGTGCTTTTCCTCATTTTGGCCCTTTTCCCTTTTCCGATTTGATAGCGCCCACGTTTTTCCACGGTCTTGCGCACTTACAACCCCAGGTTCGGCGTGCTGGAGATATTTGTCATTCCTTCGCTTCGCTTTGCACATTTTTGCACGTGAGGAAGCCGGAAACGTTTCTTTTTGGGGATGTGCTTCTCCGAGAGATATTCCTTTTTTGATTTCGTCGGTTCCACATGTTTCCACCCTGTCGTATGCTCAAAACCCAGCTTTGGCACGTTCAAGGCGTTTTTCCCTGCCTCCATTGTGAACGTCCCGGAAGCCTGTACCGCGCAGTTTTGTTTTTTTTGAACATGCTTCTCCGAGTACATTCATTGAGTTGTGAGTTTGGGGTGAGGGGGGGTAGTGACGTGCAAGCCACGCGCAGCATTTCTTTCTGAAACCATTGCGATCATTGATTCGAAGAGATACTTCAAGGCTTTCGTATTACGCGTGTGAAAGGCCAAGGGCCCCTTCAAAAAACAAAGGCTTCTTCAAGAAATGGGTTTCCTTCAAGCTTCCATGCTATCGCATGCTCAAAACCTCAGTTTTCAGGACGTTCAACTTGTTCAATGCCTTCGTTTGAAAAGTTCGAGGCAAAAGGGCGGACAAAAATCCGATGTATAGGTATGGCGACCCGTGGATCCTGGCAAATTTTATGATACGAACTCAGCGTCTGCAACTTGCTTACCATGAGGAAACCGAAGCAAAACTGGGGGACCCTGTTGCATTTTTGACATGTCAAAATGTAAAAGTCGCTTATAATCCCAATATCGGCCCCAAAATCCGCCTTGAAATCCACGGCCGTTAGCGGACCGTGCACCGAGCAGTCGTCGTCGTCGTCGTCGTC